TTAACAAAGTCTTTTTTTTCCCGCAGATCTTGCTTCTTTCGTTTGTATATCATGGGCACATGAATTGCATGCTTTTGTTAAATGCTTGACATGAGATCTGTGGGGGACTATGCAAGTAAGGAGCCTTAATTAGCATATAAGGTGGCTTTGATCTCCTAATCATTTTTAATTATGGTGTATGGATGAGCTTGATATCATTCTACATCCTAAAATATTTTAAATAAAAACCATGTCAGAGTTAAAAAAGAGGCACAACAAAAGCTGTGAAGCCCTTGATTTGGATCCCATTTGCTATTATCACAAATCTGAGGGATATATTAACTATAATCAAGAATACAAGGGTATTCTTGATATTTCAACATATTTGAAGGGTATATATGGTATTTTTCCTATACAAATGTCAATACAGAAATCATCCATCCAAGGAGCCGCAAACGTGACGGCGTCTAGCGGCGACGGTGACGACTTGAAGCGAGTCCGTCATGACGTCTCACGAGAATTAAGATCGCGATTAGCGACGATCAATTATTCGTCTCCACCGTTGCTCCGCGACGGATTGCAAGGATTTCAAAGACGATGAGGAATGTTGTGGTATAATGACCACTTCGGTCACGAATTCCACAAGCACCGGCACACTGAACCGTGCGGTGCTGCTCGATTTGAAGACAATGCTGGGCATCCCGCTTGACAAGGCCGCAAGGATATGAAATCCCGTCTTGCCGAACTGAACCATAGACGGCAATGATCAGTTGCATGTCCACCGTCTTCGGAAGGACGCTCGTGTTGCTGCGCTAGAAATTCGGACTCTAGGGGCATCTGTTATCCCATGATGCCGTCTGAACATGTACGTCTTTCACCACTAGCATGAGCTGTCATGACTATCCTGCTGCCCCGGAGTTGCGAGGCATGCCTTTAAATGGGCTCCGTTGCAATTACGAGCTCCTTGACTTCGGTCTCTCTCACTGCCGACCATGAAATCTTGGCACAGGTTAGGGTGTGGTGTGGGGGCTTCGGTGTTTTAATGGGCATTCGACAAACATCCTATTCGTATTGAGCGTGAACAGTGGTTTTGGCTATTTAACGCGTGGCTTGGCAACCAGTCTGCCTTTTTGAGCTCAGTTTTGGTAAAGCAACTATTCTTCATATTCGACTGTAGGAGTGTTTGGTCGGAGTATTTGGAAAACGCACGGTACCTGGTCGAAGGTGAATTGACCAGAGTTTGAAGGTTAGCCTCTGGCATCGCAGTGTTGTCATGACACAAAGTTACATGATGATGATGATGATGATATGTATACAAATAAATTTGTATCCCTCGGGACAAGTGATGCGACACTGGTGGACAACTTATGTTCACGGCCTGGAGACGAGCTGAATATTTGTTCAATTAGAAACCTAAATGTACCAATAAGAACGCAATTTCAGCGTCCAGTTCTCGTCAAGTGGAGATTGGGGGCGAGCTTGATGATAGCAGTCAAGCGTAACACAGAGCAATATTCACGTGAGTCCGACAGGCTGCCAGCCGTGGATTTGGTTTTCCGTCTGACAGGTGGTCAATCAAATGTTTATTTCAAAGCAACATAGCATAAATCCTCACAAACCTGTTTGTGAAGGATTGGAATTCACGTGTAATTGCTTCACAAGGATCAAACGGGAGGATAGAGCTTACACCTCTGCACTGTTGTACGTTGCTGGTAGCCATGTTGGCCCTCATGATAGCCCCTATACAAGGCGAGAGCTCGGATTTGACAAAGTTTTTGGATCTGTAGACGTCACTCTTGGAGGCGATTGTGATTGAGCCGTAGAAAATGAGGCCAAAAATACATGGCTCACTTGGATTAAAGGCAATATTATCCCATGTAGTTATTTGTCAAATTGCCAACACACAGACTAAAGTTCAGGATTTGCGAATCATTGCCACGTATGCTGCGATCACGTGCCGGCTGGGCTGGACAACGAATGCAGCCATATTAGCTACTTGCCCTTATATTGATCCTAGATGTTCCAGGGAATCCTGTAGATCCATTCTGCAGGAGGACCATAACTAGACGCATATTCCGTCGTTGTATGTAATCAACACAAGGCTTGCTCTGGACCAGGAGATGAGAATACCTGCCATTGCATTCCATTTAACCTCTTTCAAAATCTGGTGAAGTTTAGATGCGATCAACTGTATCCGCATTTATTAATCTCTTTGTAACTCAGTATGACTCTCACATACAACTTTGCACCAAGCCTGGGATTGCAATCTTTTTCTATATCGTTTATGTTACCACGTCATGTGCCAACAGTGCAGATCATTTTCTGGGCCTACACTTCAAGTTTGTGTCCACTCCTGTGAACCCCGCAGGAGTATATTTCGGTTCAGTGCAAGGAATTTATAGGGTGTACCCTGGTCCAGTGAGTGAGTCATAGAATGAGTCATCTGAATTCCAAGTTACCTTGACAAAAGTTTATCACATCTACTAGTATGAACCATCTCGCTTCACGATGCTGAGGCCTCAAAACTTTGCAGAAGAAACTTGCAGAGCTTTAAGCCGACTGGGCCCTTTTTCACACCTTGAACATCACAAGTGTAATGGTGGCAGCCTATCTGGGCTTCTACTACATCAATCATTTTCATGTTCTACAGGTTACACGCAAGTAGTAAGACTGCCTTTCCATGCACTATTATTGTTTTTAATCTTTTTGCACATTCACTCCCGCGATGCCAATCGAAACTGCCCGCATCAACGTAATACTTTTCTTAAATTCGCCTTGAATGCCAGATTGAAGCTATAATCAAAGTTGAACGAGATCCATACCCTTGCCATCCAACAGCAGGCAGGCAGGAACTTTGATTCACGGATTTATGTGGGTACTGAGTCCTGCCAACTTTACCGTGCAAGTAATCGATTCGAAAACACATCAGAAAGCATGACGAATGCATGTGCATTGAGAAATCATCACAGAAGGAAAATTGCGAGAAACATGTACCTCCCTCCTCCTTGGTCTCATTATTGATGTCGACTGGGGGTAACTGACAAATGCGTATGCTTTTCCAGCTCGGGTGGAAATCCGCTCGGAGAATCCGGACCCAACACCGCAACTCCCAGCGAACAGGGGGTTGTTCAAAGTACACGAACGGCTTTCAACGCCGACATAACGGAGAGGGCTACATGCACCCAACATGCGAGCCAGCATCCGAGCCCCCGGGACCATGCCCCGAGACAATTCGCATCGCGGAAGATGCATCAGCTGATCGTGCGGCAGGTTTTCGATCAACATGACGTGGATCTGTCGTCCGGGTCGTGATCCTCGTGATCCCGCCAGTCGCATGAGTACACCTCGGCCTGAATCGTAGGAGTCCTTTCCGACCCTATAGTATTTTTTGTTTTTTTGTATTTTGATTTTCTATATTTTATGCACATATTTTTCCCATTCGCGCTGATCATGAAACGGCGAAGGTCCGATGCTAGAACCCATACACATCAGATCTGGGTCTCACGTCGTCTTGTGTTCGGGAGGTTGCCTTACGGATCCACCAACCGCACCGTATGACTTCGCAAAACATGATAAGCATCTGTCTGATATATCTTCAACGACAAACACTACCGACACAGGCTAGACGTCGATCGTTGACAAAGCCCACCAAACTCATGGCATGCGTTGAAAAGAGGCGCTTGCCGCTTTTTGCTGCGATGCAATCAGTGGGGCTCTGATTCCGAGCCCTTTTCTTCGATGGCTTCCTTGCTTCGTTCGCTTGGACTAGTTGCCCTGCTGCTAGACCTGCATCGATCTTCGTCGCTTCAAATCCATATCTTCATCGCTCTCTTACATTTTCTTCCGATTCCATCCCCACAGTTCTGGCCCCTTGACATTCTGATCCATGCTGTAGCATGCTGATCGACTAAAACGACCTGCTCGACGACGCCAAAGCATGGTTCGGGGAGTTTCTGTGCACATGTTGCGCAGCGATAAGCTTCTCAACATGTGATTTCAGCAATTGTTGGCTTATAAAGCCAGATTATAGTAAACAAAATAGTATATTAACAAGTATGATGCTAACATATAGTAGCTCAGTTAGATAAGTATGATGATGTGGAGGATGTTGGCGGCTTGAAAGTTTCTTTGGCCAATAATATATATATATATATATATATATTTATTTATTTATTTATGTAGTGTGTTGAGGGTTTTGTTGACTGTTATGAATTTTGGAATTGAAGTTGTTCCAATTTTGATAAAATAATATTTGGTTTTGCTTGAGGAAGATTGTGTTTAACGTCATGGTTGTAGTTGTTTGATAGTTTTATTGGTCCAGGTTGAGTTCAAATTTATGTTATTATTTGTTTTGGGTATTTGAGATTTGTAAAATATCTTCGTGAATATGGATTGTATGAAGAATACACTTAAATAAAGTTCGTATAATAAGTAAATATAAAGAACAAAAGTTAGATTTAACTTATACACTAATAATTAAATTACTATTATTATTTATATGTTTCCTTGAAAATTTAGGAAGTTGAACATGTATTTTTCTTTTTATAAATTTAACATAGTTTGGTGATTTATTATATGGTGAATAGGTAATTTATACAATTATATATGTAAGAATATATCTTTTTGGCAGTAGAAAAATTATTAATGAATATAATGATAAAAAAACAAAAGTTTGCAAAATTATCATGAATCATGTATTGATAAATATATTTAATTTGGTATAATAGTATGAAAAAAAATTAAAAACCAATGTAAAAGTAGTAATAAAAATTGGTATATAAACATCAAAACCATGTAATAATGATTGTTAAATATCATAAAAATAACAAAATATTTAGATTGATTGTGAGATCATCTATCTTTACATCAAACCTTAATTTTTTTAATTTTTTATTTATTGCACAAAAATTACATAGTAATTGAAAAAAAAAAAAAAAAAAAAAAAATTATCACAATGAGTTATCGAGTCACAAATACGAACAGATACTGACAAAGTATTTCAGTACAACAATCTATAAAAATTGAAGGTCATTCTAGAAAATATAAATAGAATGAGAACAAACACATTGTCTGATATTAAAAACTTAATGGACAGTTGTTGTTCACGAATGAAGGCACAAATATCAACATGCAATTATATATATATATATATATATATATATATATATATATATGTGAGTATGTGTGTATATATACACAATGAACACTCATTGTACACCCTGTGAATTACACGTCTTATTTTCGATGTTATAAATCCTGCATATTAAACCTACGGTGATGTTACAAAAATAATCTGAAAAAGAAAGGAACAAAACAGATACATCACTTTTACTACGCTATTATTCTAATGCGAATTAGAATCTTTTAAAATTAGTTAATTGACCAACAGAATAAGAGTTTAAAATGTGAAGAATATGACCTATCATGATGTGTAAATAGAAAGATAGATAGATAGAACCGAAGATCCAGAGTCCGGAGGCAGTAGACTGAATTCGAAGCAAAAACGGCGCATCCTCAAAAATTCAGCGTCGGAAGAAAGCGAGCGTTAGAATTCTGCATCCTGCACAGAATCCCACGGAGACCACAATAATCTCATGCAACCAAAACCAAGCCCTGTTTACTGCATTCTAATCCATGGCGACACTGGCACCAGAAACACCTATCACACCGGAAACATCAAGCTCTGAGACTGTGCAGCAACAGTAAAACGGAGCAAACGAAACGATCAATCAATTAATCAATCAATCAAACAAACAAACAAGGAAAGGAGACTCTGATTGATACACCAGAGGGAAACTACGCACCCGGGTGGCGAAAGAGAATCAGTGCAGGAAGGAGACAACGAAGCCCAGAAGAGACCCTGCACAACTGCATCGGCGCAGGATCATGCAGCAAAGGCAGGGAGAAGGAAGGCGGTTGCCGATCACCGCTCGCTGTTGCTCGCCCCGACGGCCTCGACACGGTTCGGCGCAGTCGGGTTCAAAGAGGTGAAGCGCAAGCCACAGCCTGCACTACAATCATGAACCCGGGGGATATTCGAGCTCATATCATCAAACGAGACAGAATCCAATTAGGAAGGTGCGCGCCTCATGAAGTGGTCTCAACCACGACAAACTCACCCAACCTGTGAGGAAGCGAGGACGGCCGAAGGCGACGGTTGGAAGAGAGAGAACCCAACTGATGACGCACGGCGAGCGGCAACAGCCACACGACAAAGGTGCACTACAGGTAGGCGACCCGCAAGCGACTCGGCGCAGGACAAAGCGGGAGGAGAGAGAGAGAGAGAGAGAGTGCGAGTTGGGCGGGTTGGCGTTGGTCGGGGGTAGTGGACAACATCACACACTCACTCGCATCTCTCTGCATGGCCCCACTTCCCACCACCACCCACCACTTCCTCCAGCTCCTTCCCTAGACAAAGTACGTAGGGTGCGGAGGAGGTTTCGATGGCTTTTTGTCTAGCACTCCCAGCAGTGAGCCTGAGTGCGATAGCGAAGTGGCGCTCGGTGTAAACACAACGATCTCGTTGACATGAAAGCATCAGAGCCCAAACCCTTCCTGCTTCCTCCTCTTCACAGCATCAGCTCGAAGGGTGCATGCAGTGCGAGGGGGACAGGAGGAGTAAAGTAGGTGAATGATGCCGATGGCTTGATTTGTCGGGGCGGTGCCATTATACAGCGCAATCTCTATCGTAAGCTAGCTGTATGTCTCTCCCTTCTCTGTCACGCACTCGCGATCTCTGTCCACACTTCCGCCTCCCCCCTCCATCTCCTTCTTCCTCTCCGCACCTCGGCCGACCCCGAGAGAGCTCTCACTCTCTACCTCAGTATACTCTGGGCCTGCCCGATTTGGATGAATGCTTCCGTTCGTTTTTGGTGGATGTTTCAGATGCGCGGTGGATGGCGGCGTGGTCATCCCTCATCTGTGGTTTCCGCAATGGGACAATTATTGGTTTGTGTTCTTCTTTCTTCTGAAAATTTCATGTAGAATTTTTATGTGTTGCTTATGTGAGTCTTGTTAATTAAAACAATGGTGTTTGTGTTTGTGCTTGTGTGTGTTATTAAACACAGTTGTTGCAAAAGTATTGACATTCACCATATATAACTATAAATTCTTTTAAAATAATTAATGCTAATGATAAGAAATAACTTTGTACTTTCTTAAATTGTTGAGATATTTTTTGGAAAATAAACATTATTATGTGTACATACATACACTTGTGAATTCTTTTTGTGTAACAGAAAATATGAAGGAATATTGACAAAGACCAAACAGAAACATAAAAATACAAACTAAGTTCAACTCACATTTGAATATGCTAAAATAACATTAGATACTGAAAGCTTGCATCTATATATAAGAAAAAATCCAATACTTTCAAACAATATAAATAATGATAATATAATCAATGTGAGATTTTAGAAACATTACACATGGTTTTGGAAGGAGCTACAACCCAACACATTTAACAACACCGTGTCTTATACCCAAAAATTCTACGAGAATTTTTGTTGGAATCTACTGTACAATCAAAACGAATAAACGTTTGTAAGATGTCATGTCTTAAATTAGGTCCATTGTTATATGTGGAGTTTTTATTTATTTATTGATTTATTTATTTTCTAGGATGGGTGTCTACCTACACCTCCAAAAAATTACTCACCACCTTGAGATCTAATTTGTATTGATAATATCTAAACCCACGATGCCATCAATTTTAAAATGAAATGACCAACTTCCAAGCATTAAATAACTTATCTAGAAGCTTCACAAGTAATATTTCTGAACATACCTTGACATTGTTGGACTCATTTGACAATACATTATAGCTTTAAATATCAGAAATTCGCCAATAAAAACTTCTTCTTTTTTATTATCACAACCACCCATTTAATTAGTATTTGAGTTTAGTACTATTACTTATGTTTACTCATGCATGAAGTGAAAATTTTAAATGAACCGAAATAATTTTAGATGTTATCAAGCAGAGAACAGGTCTTGATTGTGCCTGAATTCTTACTTGTAAGATCAAAATGCTTTGTTGCCAACTATTTTATTGTATTATCTTATAGTTTTTAAACTTAAAATAAATTGATTCAATTAAATAAAAATTTTATTTTTTCTTTTTTTTTCTTCAAATAATATGTATATATGTATTATACCCTGTAATAAATGAAAAATTCTGAATAATATGATAAAATTTGAAATTCCATTCAGATTTGGTGTAGATTCATTGGATCACCATCAAAACTAGTAACAATCTGCAAAACAATTATCAGGTATCAAAAACCATTTTCTCATTTATAATATCAAGCATGCTTTGTACTAGCACTTGTTTTTAAAAACATTTTTTTCACTTTTCCATTTTTCCAGTGGAAGAAGTTTATTGTAAAATATATTATGTACTCAATTTACATGCTATTGGAAAATTATAGAAAAAACATAACCATAAACCTTTTTATTTCTGAAATAAAAATCTAAAAAACCAATTTTCTCCAGATGTTTATCCCCGATTAAGTTGAGGTTTAATTACAAATATTATTACTAAACATGTTAGTGTTAAATTTACGTATTCTTTCAGTTTTGCAAAAACTTTAATGTTAATCTGAAAAATGTGCAATTATTGTAAATTAATGTAGTTATCTAGTCTTTGCAAGCACCGGAATAAAACTAGATTAGACAGCAAGTGGAATTAGTGCCACACAAAAATTTAAAATTTAAAATAATAAAATGTAGCAATGCAACCAAATCAAGTATCATATTTCAGATGTTGAAGTCACTATAAAAGTTGGGTGGATTCATCAAAGTTGAATTATTCTCCATGAGTGGTGTCCCTTCCACCACACTTCTTTATCAAGAGTGCAAATACAGAAACCTTGCTGTCAATGGAAGCCTCCATAGAAGAAGAAAGGCGGAAGAAGTTAGACAAGCAACAATGAATAGGAAGAAGACTAAGGAGGAGACGAAGAAGAAGAAGAAGAAGGGGTTTCAATGAGCGAGGACCACCAAATGCATGCAATTTGTATGTGTGGGGTGGAGCCCTAGTGAGCCATGGCCAAAGTAGGAGGGAACACAACAATATTTCTTTGAAATTTTTCAACAATATTTACTTTGAAAGTAGGAGGGAACACAACAATATTTCTTTCTTTATTTATTGAGGTGTCATTGTGGATGAGCAAGGAGTTATTGTATTTTAGAAAAATAAATAAATAAAAGAAAAAAGTGTCAAGAACAAAGGAAAAGATGTGCCTTTTCTCTTTTTGGTGATGATGTGTGTTCCTTCAGGGAAATCCAACAATGCTTTTGTGGGTTCAATGCATAGCTCAATCCGTCGAAGTTTCATAGCTTTATTGATCTTTTATTTATCTGTTTTATTCAATTTTCTGTATATTTGTGAGATAAGAAATTGAATAGCATTGTTTCAAACCTTCCCATTCTTAAGGTAAAGGCCAAATGGAGCTTCAAAACATGTTTCAAAATTTTAATTGAAACATGAAAAGTAAACAAATCCACTAACTCTGCCCATTTTTCAAGTGTGGTTATCCTTAGAAATTGCCAAGTCACAAATCACCATCCTTGTTCCAAAGGATGCAAAGCCAATGTATGATGGCAAATAATATTAAAAAAAAAAAAAAAAAACGGATGAAAAAAATATGAAATAAAAAAAAATGCCGAGACCTAAACTTCTTCGTAGATGTAATAAATAAAATAGAAGCTTATGATTGACGATGAAACCCACTTTCATCATTGCCATAGAACTTAATTATGAAGGTTGGAGGGAGATTTTTTTCCCTACCTTTTTAAGGAAAAAGAGAAAAGAAATAGGCCTGGGAATAATAATAATAATATTTATTATTATTATAACATTGCACATTGTGAGATCCACTTGCCAAAAGAGGCAATGTATGTGGCCATAGAATGAGCCGCCCGCGACACGTAGAATTGAAGAAGGGCCAGAAAATTAACACTCTAAGAATAGCCCATCACAAAATTAAAAATTAAAAATTAAAAAAAATCGCCTTCAAACCCCCTTCTTGAGTGATTCTTTCTTAAAGTCATCCCCTTATTTAGCCATTTCCTTTTCCTTTTCTCCCCCATCTTTTATTTTCTTTTTCCCCTTGTAGTTAAAAGTGGAGCAATCGATAAATTTAATACGGTGGGGGGGAATTATGAGAGTGGCCCACAGTAAGTGAAGGGGGGTGGGGGAACAAAATTGTGAAAGCTCACCCTCACATCCCCAAACAAGGGAAGCTTCTTTCCCAATGCTAAAATAAAAATAACACCCTCATCATGAGGAAGGCCAAATACAGGGTCTCCATGCCCAGCCCCAGAGCTCCACCCGTTAATTATAGCCCATGACCCGGTGGGGGACCAGAACGGAACGGAGCAGAATAGCTCTCCTCCTGGAACCCGTCCCACATAAATGCCAACCTAATCAGATCCCAAGCTTGAGCTAATCCAGTAGCCTAATCCTGTGTCAGAGTGCCCCTTCTATAGCACTAATCCTATGATTAGCGCCACTGGGTGGGGACTAAGCCAGCAACAATGGGCACTCAAATGTAAGCAGAAATGAGCAACAACAAACGGGTTACCAAACCCTAAAAAGAGGGTCTCATAAGGCAGTCAACTTTCATCTACTCTCTCGTCGTACCGTATGATGCTGACGGGTACGTCATCGAGAAAGGGCTCCGGCTTCCAAGTCCTGAGAATCGAGGGGCGAAACGGAAGGGGTGGAGTTGAGGTGCCGAGCAGGAGGGGAAGGAAGGGGAGGGAGTACTAATTCAGGGGCAAAGGGGGCACACTATTCAGGCCCAGGCAAGGGGACAGCGGAGGGGAAGAACCGGGAGGGAATCCGGGGCAGGGGTTAAAGCATGTCGCGGGAGGAGCTCCCCCCCTGCCGCCGTGTCAGGCCCCCAGTGGCAGGACCTACCGCGATGTTGACATGGCGGCCAGCCTGACTATAGAGGGGCCGGAGCTCCGCAGCCCGGTGCTTGCTGTCTTGGCCGCTGGCTGGCCCGTGCTGCGAGGGGAGGGAGGGGGGGGGGGGCTGCCTGCCTGGATGCCGAGAACCTGGATGAAGCGGATGAGAGCTAGCAGTAAGCAGCAGCAGGAGCAGCAGCCTGCCTGCTTGCCTGTCGTGCGAGCGAGCGAGCGAACAAGCCAGCAGCAATCTGGAAAGCCGCCCCCACGCCTCGCCTGGTTTGCTGCGAGGCGAGAGCCTTGCATGCAACAACAACTACAACATGGTAAAAAATCAACTAACTCGCTCTCTCTTGGCTGTGTCGCGGCCACCGCTCGGGGCTCGTCGTTTGTTGACGGTTTGCTGGTGACAGGCGTCGATTGCTTCCATGTACTTGTGAGCGTTTCGGTGGACTCGAATTTCCCGCGTTGGCTTTCTGTGCTGGTGAGAGGTGCTTGTTGAAAGTCGTCCAGTGATTTTTTTTATTTTTTTTATTTTTTTTATTTTTTCCTTTAATTTGTAGCTTTCCTGAGAGCGTATAGATGGATTATAGGAAAGTGATTTGAGTTGAGTTGACGTGATTTGGTCATGGTTTGTAGCTAGAGGAGGAGGAGAAGGAGGGCGAGGAGATGGAGGGGATGGGAGGAAGGGGTTGTGGTGGCAGATTTGGTGACTTATTGATGGATTAGACGTGACGTGATGTGATTGATGATCAGTAATGTCTGGTGGGAACTCGAGGGTGTTTGGTGGACAACGGTGGTGGTACCGTAGTAGGGTCGGGAGAGGCATGAGGGTGAGAGAGAGGAAGAGCGAGAGCACATGGAGGTTCTGATCTGAGAATGGTTCCTCCACTCCCTGGAGAATTCTGGAAATCTATTGCAAATTCCCTTCTCCCCCCCCCCCCGGAGATTTGTCATAACCTTCTTGTGGAGAGGCGCTGTGGAGATTTCTTGGTTTGATTCTGCGCGATCCGCCCTTGGTATTGGAGGTTGACGGCTGTTTATTATTATTATTATTATTATTTTTTCTTGTTATTTTTTCCCTTGGAATGTGAAGATTGATTCGACGCAAAGCGACTAAGAGGCCTTTGAAGCGGTGGTTGTCAACTGTTCCGCTTAAGCTTGTGCTATATTATCTGATTTTGGAATGCCGGCGCTGTGGGGGAATTGAATTACGAGATTGAGTGCTTTTGTGATCATGCGGTTTCTGAAACGTCTTCGTCGTTCTTTTTTGTTACGGGCTTTAAATCTTCCCGTGGTTCACCTTCTCCGAGGACCGTCTTGACACTCAAGGTTTTCCGAAGACCTTCTCATCCTCTTCTTCCCCTTGTATTAAAATTGAAGCTGGAGGTTGAATGTGGTGATGCCATGAGAAGCACCGGATTCTTTGTAGATAGCACACGAACCCTGCGGGTTTTCTTTCTGTAGATTTCTTTATTTATTTTTTGTTTTATTGTGCTGGATAGTGACCAATGCAGAGGTTGGAGTGTGCCAGTTTGTAATTTTCTTATAATTCTGAGCACGCTCTTCTTTTCATGCAGTTCGTTTCATTTCAGGAGAGGATAGAGTTCATGTCAAGCTGTGACTAATCATCACGGCTTTAAATTATCTAGTGCTCGAAGCATTCCAGTGTGTAAGCACATTGGATGGGAAGCAGATCAAGAAACAAAAGGGGACAATTCTTCAGGAGTTTTTCCAACTCCTCGGAGAAGAAATGCCAAGCGTGGCAGCCGCTGCCTTGAATCAGGATCCCGAAAATGCTGCCATGGTTATGAATGACGGTGAAGACGAATCTTCTTCAAGCAATGCCACAGTTAGCCTTGACTCCAAAATCTGGAACAAGTTACCACCCGAGCTTTTAGAAAAAATACATCTGTGTTTGCCTCTCATCAGCCTCGTCCGATTCCGATCCGTCTGCAAGGCCTGGGATCGAAGCGTCTTCGACGAAGGGTTTATCCAAGCGCGGAAGCAAAGCGTGTCTCAGAAGCCATGGATTATCGTCACTACAACAGCGCTCTCCATGTCTATGTTTGATACAGGCGAGTGTCCACGGCCTCCCCCTAACCTTTGATCAACTCCTGCATTCTTACATTTCTCTTCTCTCTCGTGCTGTGTATGGAATCGTGACTTGGCGGCCGCAAAGTGTGTCTCAGGCTCTCGCTACCCTGACGTGAATGTGGTGCCCGGGAATTAACTGAAACAGGTGACGAGACATGGATTGACATTCCTATCCCTTTCAATGCAAGCAAAGTGCATGTTGTAGCAGCGGCAGGAGGCTTGCTGTGTTTCTCCAATGCCTGGTTCCAATGGCCGGGAATGTACGTCGGCAACCCGGTGACCAACCGGTGGCGTCACTTGCCCCCCATGAACACCTTCCTCATCATCACAGTCGGTATGGTATACTTCGACGACACCCAGACCTTCAAAGTGTTTGTCTGCGGCCGCCGCGAAGATGACAACCTCATCACCGAGGTTTACGATTCAGTGGAGGATAGCTGGACACCGGGAGGGCTTCCGGCTGCATCTCGCAAGTATGGCGGCGACACTCTGGTGTGGCGTGATGGTGTCTTCTACTGCCTCACATTCCCTTACAGCACCCTGAACCTCATCGCCTACGACCTTGCCAAAGGTATCTGGTTCGACGTCCCTGTGTACATGCCGTCAGCCATCATGTCCCCCAACGTCGTCGCGTGCCATGACAAACTTCTGCTGATTTATGCAATGGAGGCAGAGGAAGGACATTTTGTCATACGGGTGTCGGAGCTAGACTTCGATATCTACGAGTGGGTGGAGGTCGAGAGAATGCCTCCTCAAATGTGCCGAGAATTCGAGAATCTGATGGTGCAGACGAAGCCACTGTGCTGCTTCAGCACGGGGGACTTGATTTTCTTCACGATTTCAAGCAACACTACCTATTATCCTGGCGCTGTGTTCGACTTGAAGAATCGGGTGTGGACGTGGTGGCCGTCAGCGGGCTTCCCACCTCACCTTCCTGAAGTCAACATGGGCCGCACCATCGGGTTGAGCTTCGAGCCCCGATTGCATGCACTTGTCTGAGCGTGTGTCGAAATCATGTGGATATCTATTGAAGTAATCCATGAGTGAGTTCCACCATGCAACGCTGGGGAGCTTAAGCCCCAAGACTCGCAACATTACTCATTTTTTTTGAGGATTTTGGGGACAGCGAAGGTGAACATCGCGGAAAATTAACGGATCCAGGATTGAAGAGTGTCTTGTTATTGGTGAAAGCTGTGCCGCTGAGAAGTATCCGGGAGCCTGGTTGATCTGCCAAGCAGATCTCCTCTTTTTAGTTCAATATTCTTTGATCCAATATTTGGTTTAGGGCCCACGTTTGCACTTGATTTGCACTCAGGATGGTCTAAATTGTCAAACGATAGAGAGGTTGTTGTAGCTCGTTGTTACGGAGTTAGCTGGAATTACCAATCTTTTTTTCCATGTATAGTGTTTTATATGAAACGTTGTAGTTGACAGGCAGAAACTTGTGCAAGGCTTCTCTTGAACCGCACTATTGGAAGATGCATCAGTTGCTGCCCTGTCTCAATTTGGTGGTACTTAAAATGTGTTGAGTATTAGTTTTCCCAAGGAAACTCTATCAGCGTGTTTTAAGCTTCAGTACCTGATCTGCGAACATGTGAATACTACAAAATTATTGGAAATTTGTGGCAGTCGACAATATTCGCGTTGTGGCTGCGGTGGAAGATCAAGCACAAGCTGCGGATTTGTGGTCCTCCACATACTAGTTCCCCTCTGATCAGCTGTCGTGATGAGCGTGCATGGACAGTGTTAAATTCCACACAGTATCAAGTCCGCCATGTGTATGTCATCCAGTTACTGTGTTACGACAGCATTTCTCGAGTTGTGTGAGCAGGTTAGGTGCCTAAATTCAGCTGTCAGAGAACCCCATCCAGAAACACAACAAGCGTCCAACAGAAACAACCGAGATTTCGTGTGCATGTCACTGTATCCACAAAATCTGCACTACCGGTATTTTATACTTTCTCGGTCGGTGTACCTCTTTGTCCAACAATGTAGCCGATCCTCACCTATACGGTAGCTCAAGGTTGGGATTTGAGATTACAAAGGAACTTGAAATTCTAAACCCAGAAACTTCATGGTGCTGCATTGATTAGCGAGATGTTGCATCAAAGATGAGAAACCCTCTGACCTTGCAGAACAGATTGTTTTCCGTTCAAAAGCTGGATTTACAGTCGTAAGCTAATTTTTGTCGACATAACAATACCGCGTCACAAAAATATGATCTGCACAGAAACTAGCCCTTCCGAAACTCAGAAATTACAAGTTCGATTTCACCTACTTCGCTTCACCAACTTCTGCGTCAAATAGGATACCTTGATCTAAAAATAACTTGGGCATTGTCAGACGATATCACTTTTCCAGATCTGACCCATGCTCAAAGTGCATCAAAGTAAATGACTGCTCTCTACAGTTAAGACGCTTCCAAGACATTGAAGTATTTTGAGGTTTACACTAAAAAAAACTGTAATTCTGCATGCACATAACAAATCCACTAATACTGTCAGCAAAGCAAGAATGTGAAAAGATCTCCCTGGTTTAAAACGCACCCTTTAATAGCAAGATTTTGGGGCTATTTCAGAGAAGAAAATGGCAAACACCTCTTATTTGTGGCTGCTTACTCTACCTGAAAAGCACAGTTTACCTCAGATCCTCCGATTGCGGTTGCCTCGTGAATTTTATCTTCGACAACTTATGACTCGACTTGTTTTCCCAGAGTGAGCATTTGTGACTAATGTGTTTTCTTGCTTGGCCTTTATCAGCCAAGTGTAAGATAGACAGGGCTGACCCTGCCTGGTAACTAATTTAAAAGATTACTGGTGATCCTCGGACTACACAAGCAGAAGGTTGCAAGATGATTTCATGGAATCAAACGCTGCAAGTGCACGAGGAGTCGCTGGATAAATCGGCATACTTGAGGCATGGTTCATTTGCTGAGGATTCAAAGTAAATGCGGACAGATTGCCTTGCCTGAAATAAACGTGTTGTCCGGGACACAGAAACGTGTTCCGACTTTAGTAGATCTTTAAAAGAAGTTTTTTCTACGGCCTCGATTACATGTCGCGTTTTTGCAACCTAGACAATCATGGGAATAGGTCTCATGTCATGTCCCAGTGCCATTAATTTAAGAAACCGGACCTGCAAATTAAATGATATGCACCTTACGTCCAGAAGTGCATTCGTCAAATTATGCATAGGACAAACGGAAGAGCAAAAACTAACCAAGACATGAAAGCTGGACATCACTTGAAGTGCTAAAAGATCCGCTTCAGTACAAAATGGTAAATACTATCAATAACGTAGGAATACCTTGAACCAACTCGTAGACCTTGTCAGACACCGCGCTTGTACAAACCCAAAACCGCTTTTAAAAATGTAGAAAGATTCCATGTCCACCAATGATCAGCGAACTTTAGAACGATGAAGGCGGTGGTTTTTAGTGATGGAGGTGGTGGTTTAACCTATTTTTACGGGCGGTTTTGTTCAAGTGTACGACTCGGTTCAGGGGTAAAATGCAAAAACTGCTTTGATCATTTTTATCAATTCAACCACCGCGGCGATTCAATTTTTTCTCCTGGAGCACATCAGCACATCAGAACCTTATTTCTCTACCCAAAACATTTTTTTTTTTCCAAAAAAGAAAACCTGCCCGATATAGCTGAAAACCTTAAGTTGGCGATTTAAGGTATTCTTACGTTATACTGTTGAATATTCCTACGTTATACGTTATACTTACACATCACATGTGCATCATCGCTACTTTACACTTGAAAGGTTGATTTAATACAGTTGCAACATGGTGAGAGCGGAACCTGAAGTCCATGTAAGGGGAAAAGCTTGAGTTGGTCACCGGAAGCTGCCGCATCAGTTTCAACACCAGATGAAAGTTGAGCTGCAGATTGAAACACAGAAATTGATGAAGCACCTGCCAAAGGAGGGTATCATTACAATGGGCCTCACACCTTCCGAGTGCTCATTGCCCACTTCCAATCCTGAATCTCCTTGCTTGCGAAGATGTAGCTCACGAAGCTGACTAATTGAACTTGAGAGGCCTTGTACCGGTGAAACAAACTGCACACATAGTAACAAATTAAAAAACTAAATGAAAAGTAATACAGAAACAATGAGGAGAAGAACATAACCTCCTTCACTCTGTTTCGAGTTCAAATTCTGAGGTTGAACAAACGAAGAAATGACGTAGAACGACTGAGCGTCTAAAGGTGTACTGCCCTGAATCCAGGTGACGCACTATAGTGTTATACTTGTTTGACACGAGTGAATCTCTAGGAAAAGGTAGGGCATAATGACAAACAGCCACTAAAATTGAAAAGGAAACAGACCAAACAAAACAAAAAGAAGAAGAAAAAGCAGACAAGAACTTTGGAAGGGGGCTCAATAGGCAGTACTCTAGTGGCGGTTACAGTGAGGAGAATATTCTAATAATATCAGTGGTATATCGGGAAATTTTCTAGTGATAGCAGAAGGAACATTAAGATTTCGTGATTGCTGTTCTCTTTACTCCAACTACACTGTGGCCCATTAATCTCCACCCTTCTGGCTTCCAGAGAGGGTCCTATCTCCAAGGGCAACTCCTACACTCCACAAAGATTTCGCAATGTGGGTCATTGACAAGCAGTTGATTAGGAATCCTTGAGTGTGTGCCTTGCTTGCAGGAACACATAGAAAAGCTAAAAAAGAGCTCGTCATTTCTCAGTTCTGTAGCAATTTTTTTGTAGTGAAAGAATGATCGCAATCTCTCGACAACCAGCTGTAACCCACAATCAACGAAACGAACACATATGAAATGGCATCTGCACGTTAGTGTGACAATGAGTTATCTTTGTTCCACAACATGGCCAGCTCAACAAGGTCTTAATTAATGACGTATCAAGAGACCTCGAAAAGGAGAGGGATTATGATTTTTGAGCCAAAGGAGAGTAGCTTAATCGGTACATTTGATTTGTTCCTCACAATCTGGAGTGTACTGGACAACACTTACAATCCAAACAGAAGTGGACGAGGTGACAGAATGTGTAGACGCTAACATGCTAAATAAAAGAGGCATAGGATTATGCTGATGCATAACTATAGCTTGAGGGTACGATTTCTTACTCGTGAGCACCTTACACACAGCAAGTTAGTGACCAACAAATTCAAAACATGGAGAGGGCATGCACTATTAGATTACGGAACACAATACCTCTAGAACAGTCGAAGATTTCACTGAGATAGGAAAAGCCTGCATTGAACTCTTTCTAACCCAAACTTTCTTGGCGATACGCTTGAACCGATGCTTGCACAAGATCTGGCATGGGTAAGAAACAGTGATTATTGCTTCCAATCAGTTAAGAGTCGCAAGTGCAACCTGCACTTGAACTACCCTAAACAAACACAGGCTGATAAATCTTCAAATCCTGATCTAGTTTTTGAGTTTTTGACAGAGTTTCCATCACGCTTTTCACTGTCATATGATGACCACCTGTGCAAGAGCCTTCCCATCTCTAAAGTAACCACGTGAAATACGATCTGCACGGACCTGTGAAGCAGGCTCATCATAAACATCACAATCTGTGCGCCAAGACCTATATTGATTCAGGACTAACGTTCCATCTCAACGTGTGACATTCCATCTTCACCTGTACAGCGCTCTCAACTGCACATTCTTCTGTGTTGTGCTGCACTTGGTATTGACAAGCACCATAGCAGCTCACAATTTTCTTTAAAGAACAAAAAACAAAAAACAAAAACTCAAGCATCGCTGTGCCTTCAATTAAATTTTGGAAAATAAACTCAAGTCGTAAAGTCAACGCGTTTTGAATGGTACACAATGACTCAATATCTCTGGAGTCTTGGCATACATGCTGGTGAGAAATAATGGGTGATACAAAGTGGACACCGATTCCTGTTCCAAATTTTACAAATCTAATGAGAAAGTGTCTAAATCTGAGGAGGAAGAAGCAGAGGTGTGAGACTGGCATGTAGGACAGTTGCTGCAGAAAGAGTAGCTGCTCGCAAACGCTTTGCAGGCACACATGTGAGCAGTCTTGCTTCAAGTCCGTTACTCATGACCGTGTCCTTGTACCTCCAACATCACATATCCAGTTGCAATGTTCACAGCCGCAAGTGATAACCCAAGTACTTCAAGGAAAGTAACCCAGTAACTAGTTGCGCAGCTGAATTGACCAAAAAATAATATAAAATAAATAAAAATTTGCATTATCTGCTATAAGAATCATTCAGCAGGGTAAATGTGAACCGCACCGTGATGTAATCGACAGGTCAATTCGCAATGTCCTACTCTTTTTCCAGAGCTGCAGTCACTTCTTTGATGAGGTCCTTCGCGTTGCCATTTACGTCGTCCTGTGATCTTTTGCCGACAAAACTGACTGAAACATCATGTCAGGGATAACAGATGTGGGTTGATGATCAAATAAGTAGCCCCATAAAGAGACGTCGTAACTGGTGATGCTTTACCGAGTTGCCGAATTGCCGAATTTCTACACAGCTAGAGCTATGCTTCAGGACGATTACTTACAGAACGAAGTGAAGTTAGGAAAGGGGAAGGAGAAGCAGCAGGTGTAGAGAAGCGCGAGATCACGTTACTCAGTTTAACCCAAATGTATCTCTTACACAGCTCTACGCCACGGGGTGACCTAATTGTCCCATCAATATGACAACACTGCAACTCCGCTGTGGCCCAACACCTACGTGTGTAGGTTTTTTCATGGACCTGAGGAAAGATTAGCGGACAACGATGAATATGGATGGACTGCGCTGCCATAAAGTGTTGCCAGAAACCCAAATCGACTTTCACATAGAAACAATCAAATTGCAGCAAAAGAAAAGGGAGTCAATTCTGTCGAGAAGATGTGTACTCAGCAGAAAACACCCGGATTCGAGCAGAAGACCCAGCAATTGGCAGCTTCAAGGTGGCACATATTATGTGCAATGAAGTCATATGCAAGGATCTAAGAGAGTGGATGTCTGGCACATGAGTGGCACCCCCACTCCTCAAAGCTTATTGTTGCAGATACATGAGCAATCAAGCGGACGAAGAAATTCAGAACTGCAATAAACAGGGGCATGCTATTAAGATTATAAAAATTAAAAATTAAAAAAATAGAAAAAAAAAATCCAACGAGGTTATTGCGGATCTAGACACGCTTAACAAACGCTGTGTAAAACCAAGATCGTCCAACTCACCGAAGGCGTCGTCTACTGCCTATGGAAGCCAACTACTTATCCCTCATTAATGGTGAGCATTTAAGACGACTCGATTCAGTCAAAAGTTCCATGAGTGAAAAATAATCACAATCGCTACCTAACATTCTATCGAAGAAGAAACGCCGACCATGAAGTGAAGAAAACACAAGCCGAAATAAACACAAGCACACACACATACACAAGTCAACCGAATGATGACCTTATCAAATGTTTTAAAGCATGCTAGCAGTCGCATTGAATAGGTACTGGACAAAATGTTGAAACAACAGATTGCAAGCCATCACCAGAAGATAAACCTCACCACAGTCAGCGTATTCACACAACCGCAACAGCAGCAAACTCTACACGGATCTAATGTCAGAAGATAATAACGCCGTAAAGAACTTGTTCCTGCTTCGAGTGTCAGAACATCAACAGATCATACACGTCAGAAAAATGGTCTTCCCCAGATTTGATTCACGTTCCGCTCTGAGCGCCTTCTAATCTGCTTGTAAATTGTGGATATGTTTCAAACAGAAACTGCTGGAGATTTTGAAACGCAGCATCCCAACTCATGAACAACTCATCAGCAACTCTCTTTCTGCGTCCTGGAGCCATGACCTTGGCCTTGAAAGTTCACCAAGAGACATGCAACACACTCTAACATATCAATCTTCCCGTTCAACTACCGCATGCACAGACACAATCGTATGGGCACAACAACACCACCAACAACGCAAGCATGGATTTCAGTGCCAAGAGATTATCCACAGGGGGCACCGTCGCCATGAAAACCGCCACCCTAACTGCAGCGCCGCGCGGTTGCGACGCAGTCTGAACACCACCATCGCCATCTGAAGCTTCAGGTTGAAGTTCATCTTCGACCCACGTCGTTCTGATCAGCCTCATTCTGCAACCCCAATTCATGAAAAACCTGAACCGATAGCTTGATTTGCTTCAGCTGTGTGTTGATTTGCCACCAATTGCTTGCTACTCAGTTTCGGAAAACTGGATTGTTCCACACATGCAAATATAAACCCTTAAATGATCAAAGACTCCATTTTTCCGTGCATGTTTGTGTCAAGACTTAGCTGCACATATCTGATGGCTGAGTGCGAGTTTTTTTCTTAAGAAAAACGGCTTTGATGTGGGTCATTTATTTGGATGGTCCGATCATTAAAACTTGCCAACTTGCTGTATGAATGAAGTGGTAACAGTTCTGGATTTTTAGGTGTAAAATAACTATAGTTTTATGGGGTTGAACTGTGGAGCTTCAATGTTGGTGATGAGCTGCCCTTTTGAATTTAATTGTTCTCCTTATTTTAGGATTGGTTATGTTTTGAGAAAAAAATTAATGGTTATCAACAAAAGTGTTGTTACAAAAATGTCTCCTCTCATGGGAAGATGAAAATATTACATAGGAAACCATTTGTCCAAATTTTCTGTTGCCATTGTACTTTTTTATTTGCTCCATGGATATGTATGTGTTTGGAAGTATGTGTATATGTATATATATACTAATTTATTTATTAATTGAGAGGTGGGGGGGGGGTTTGGCAATTGCTTACAAGTGTATGTGTTATTTTTAATTAAAATGTTTGCAAATGTTTATAAAAAATCCTTAATGAATGAATTGAGTTACATTGAAGCTTGTTTTTTTTTTCATGCAACATACAAATTGAAAACTTGCTGATATTTTGTAGACATTTGTAAATAATAAAATAATAAAATAAAAATAAAAACATTTGATGTTAAAATCCATTTCTCTTTTAATTTTTTTACTTTTTAATTTTGGGGAATGGGCACGAAATTATGACATGCATAAAACAAATATTTAAATCATACTCTATATGAATATATGAAAACATGTGCAGGATATTATCTAGTTCACCTGATTTTGATTTTTATGTGGTACAAAAGATAGGGATCCAGCTGTGAATGTCCTATTTATTATTTTAAATATAAATATGTACAGATATATATATATATATATATATATATACTACAATGCGACAACCAGTATATGTACAATAGAATACAAAAAATTGTGTAATCAGCATTTCTTTGTGCTTCAAAAACATCAATAAACAAAGTTCAAAGTAAAATTCAAAAACTTATATTTTTACTATTAAGATCCAAATAAACACAAATTTGCATGCAACGATGTGTTTTTAGAGAGAAACAAGTTTTCAAAGGTTCTATAAAGCATCATTTAAAAAGATCATGCATGTGTTTTTATTTATATTTACATTTGAATGTTATCATTGTCAATTTCAACATACTCGGACAAGAAACACGTTTTTGAAGGTTCTATAGAGTACTATATAAAAAGAATGTGTATGTGTGCATGGATTGCATTGGAATATAATCATTGCCAATTCTAACATTGTAAATTGGTGGGGTGGCCATGCTTATATACAAAGTATGTTTATTTTTGTAGTGTAATTAGCAATAAATGACACAAGTAAGAGGAGTCTTTTAGCCTTGCAATTTTCACATCATATATGACTTAAGAATAACAAAGTAAAACCCAAAAATCACTACAAGAATCCAATAGCAAAATAATAGCAATGTACTGTGCAATTAGAATACAAAACTGTGCTACATTGTTGTAAAACTTTGGTTGTATGGAAGACTTTGCATCTGGTTTGACATACATTTGACAAAAAATATTGAAGTTTTACAATGTGGCATGAAAAATAGTTTTAGTTGCATGATGGCTCTGATCTCAACAAGACAGGAAATTGCTTTTCAAACCATGACACTGAAAACAATGCCACAATTTTACTTTGAAGTATTGCATTATTATTTATCTTAAAATCTTTAAGTTATTATCATTATTTTTATTATTATTTTAAGTGGTGTGGTTGAGCAGTTTACAATGTACTGTTTTCAACACAAGATCAAAACCAAATTACAAGTGTAAAATGCACAACTTTAAAGATACCATATTGATAAAATACATAAAAACAGTAAGAGCATTATAATAAAAATAAAAAAATAAAACCATCCAGAATTCTATTATCAATTGTATACAAAAAATTAGATAAGATTAGAAATCAGTAAAAAAATTAAGTAAAAACTCAGTTAGATACCATTTAATTTATTGTGTTTTCTATGTTACAATCAGCAGTAGGAGATTCATCAAATTCACAATTTGAACTCCATGCTCACCGACAAACCAAACCAACAAAAAAAAAAAAAAAAAAAAAAAAAAAAACCACATGTATTCTATTTCCAAAGGTTTCCACCCTTCACATGGCAATAGTATCAAACTATTATTTTGTAATGCCATGGTGAGGATATATATATATATATATATATATATACGTTGGATATAATAATAATAATAATAAATTTTATTACTATCATAATAATTTAAAAGGAAAGTAAAAAGAAGGGTCACAGATGTCTGAAATGCCCACCTGTGGAATCAAAGCCAGTTATTAGTTGACTTGAACCCTAGACCCTCGCCACGTCAGCCAAATGCTCTTCAATGCTACTACACAGAAAACCATAAAAAAAAAAAAAAAAAAAAAAAAAAAAAACCCCCAAATGGAGTCATGCAACCCTTTGCCCCTGTTTGTTTATTTGTTTACTTATTCTCTTCTCTTCCCCCCCCCCCTTTTTTTTTTTTTTTTTTTTTTTTTTTCCTTTATCATTTATGGGTTCATTTGTTATATATATATATATATATATATATGTGTGTGTGTGTGTGTGTGTGTACCCCATAATATGGGATACAGTTTTAGATGGTTTCATAACAATTGTTTTACATTAAACAAATTTGTTATTCATTAGAAGAGCTTGTTTGTATCTATTACCATAATTGAGCACTTACCACAACTTACAACGTAGATTTTTTGAGTACATTTATGAAAATATAAAATTTTATCTTTTATTTTGACCGTTATGAGATTATTGTCATATGTTTAACCTTGTTTATATCAAGCAAGTATTATAAAATTGCAATAAATCATAATCTTTTAATTTTACAATACTAGTCTTCTTTTAATTCTGAAGAACAAATCATTAATAGAAACAGGAATGGATATTCAAATTAACTTTTCTGTTGAACTGATACTCATACTTTAAAATAGTTTACAGCAACATTAGCTGATTCTGTTTAGTATTAAATTATTTTTATAGTTTTATTTATTATTTTGAAATTTAAAACTGTATTTCAAAATTACAAAATAGCTCAAACACGAATTTAAAGAATATATGTTGTTAATCATAAACATCTTTTTAAATTAAAACCTTTTTTTTTTATGTTTTGTAATTATAAAACATAAGAAAAAATGAGCACAAATAAATACATCCTATAGGGCATTTCAGAACTGAAATTAATTGTAACATTATAACACTTCGAATTAGAATATTGTGTGTTGTTATTATTTTAATATGATCATTTTTATAATTTTATTTTTAATCTTTTCAGAGTTCTAAATTATTCTTTGTAGTTTATTATATATCATTCATTTACTTTACATAAAATTTGAAAAATAAAACTTGATATCAAAATTTTGTACCAACTCTTAGTACCAACTTATGATATTTTTAGTGCTGTTATTTTGGTAAAATTAATAACGGATTGATTGATGAAATATTTCTGGTATTTAAATTTTAAATTTTAAATTAAATTTTATAATGATATCAATTTTTCTTATGATGTTTTAGATCTCAGCTCGATTTTTAATTTGTTTCGAGAAATATTGAATTTAGTTAAATTTAATTGATATTTCCTATAATAAAACTCAACAACAATTATTTTCTAAATTCCTATAAAATTAAATTTTAGACTTCCAAGCAACAACGAGATTTTTAAATATATATATATATATATATATACACACACACACACATATAACAGTTAATTCGTATGTTGGCCAATTATCTACTTAAATCTTATTGATCTGATTTGGTTTCGATTTATTTTGCACACAGATTCGTACAACATTTTTTACTATTTAAAAACTCTCTTTAATTCTCACCAAGACCGTAGTTTTAATATTTATACAATTTAACAATAAATTATTGCGCAACATTCTTTTAAGAATGCTGCATAATCACACTGTTTTAGTTTCGTTTTAATTTTTAATATATATATATATATATATATATATATATTCCATCAAGCCATGTACATCTTAGCAGCTTAAATATATCTACCAACTTAACAGTAAAACTACACTCTGCACATGCCTATACATACACTATATATTCATTATTATTTTGTACTTTAATTGCATTCGTTTGCCAAGTTATAAACTCTTTGAACATAATGCAATGTTCTAGAACTTACAAGCTTATTGAAAATTTTCTAATTCATCTTAAATAACAACTTTCAAGGATATTTAGACATAAATATAGTCACTTATTCAAATACTACACATTGTAATGTTATTAGATCAAAATGTTCAAAAATCATGTACATTTGATGTTAAAAAACAGATAAAACATGTATTTTACCAAAATTTGTTTCCATCAGTTAATGTTTTACAATAACTTACAGAATTTTTGGACTATTTTATATCAAACATTGAAATCTAAAAACATTAAAAAGATTACAGAAATTATAATTTACAAGTAAATAAATTTCATTTAAGTAAAAAAATATTTTAAGAAAATTTTAATCTTTATGATAAATTATTATCAATAGTAACTTGAAGATTACAATTCTATTAAAATTTCCAACATTTAGTATCGAATCAGTATAAGATTAATTATGAAAGTACTAAATTACCTAAAAAGACTGCCTAACATTTTCGTCAAAAATAACAACTGTTAGATCTTTGTACGAATTCTATGTTATTTTATAAATCAAGTTTTTTTAACATAAAAATAAACATGAAGTTTTACATTTTAAGTTTTAAAATGAGTTTTCTTATATAAATTATTATAAAATTGTTTTTTATTTATGATTATATAATATTATCAATTAAGTCTTATCCTTTGTTAATTTTTTTTATTCATGGTTAATTTTATATAAGAAACTTATTAGTCTTTGTAATGTTAAATTATTTTAATTATTTTTAAACCATTAGTGTAAAATTATTACAAAACATGAAATAAAATAAATCTATTGTTTGGATATATATGATTTTAATATAAAATATCGTTTATAAATTTAATTATTAAGCATTGGATAGTTTATTTTATGGAATTTTATGTTATTATCTATTGTTTAAATGTTGCTTAAATAATATCAAATTTAACTTTTTTTTCCTTTTCCAAAAAAGACTTTACAATAAAAAAGTATGAGGTTTGATATTGTTATTTTCAAAAGAAGTATTAAAAATCAAAGTAGATTTAGAACTGCGAATGAAGTGTATAAAGATGACATATGTATTTACAATACTAATGATAAACTAAAACATTTTTTTTTTGTAACTAATATATTAGTTACGAGTTTTCAAACTTTTTAATGATTGTACATTACATCTTATTATTCGAAATAACAAACATGATTAGAAAGTTTTTATTTAGATGTCTGCTGAGTACCAATAGTATCTTTTTATTTATTTATAGTTTTTGTTATTGATTTTTAAGTAATATTATTCAAAAAATATATATAAATCTCAATTTATTTATGTATATTATTTTTGTAAAACTTCATAACCATCATTTGACATATACAACAAATAATCATTCCCTTTAAATGAATCAATTTATAGGATTTAATACATAATCTAACAATAAAATATTTTTCTAAAATAATTTGTGTTTGTACACTACAAATACAAGGCATTCATTTAAATCTTATTGTTCTAATAGTGTTCTATCTGGAAAGATTTGAAGGACCTGTGTTTTGATTGAAAGTTTTTAAAACTATGTTGTATTAAAACTCAATAGCACCCTTATTAGAAACCACAATTTTGTTTAGGCCTACAATTTGTACCATTTTTTTTTTTCAAAATCAGAATCATAATTTTTTGATGTTTGTGTTAACATGTATATATGTATGTATTATTTTATGTATATATATATATATATATATATATTTCGAGTGATAATTAAAATTACTGTGATAAATATTTTAATGTTATCTCTGTTATGTATATATATATATATATGTACATATTTAAATATATATGTTACTTTAAGCAAATACAATTGTTAAACATATTTTGAATTTTAAGTCATACTTGCATATTTTATTTTTTATATTTGAGTACATCATTGTGATGATCTAAGTTACTTATTACTTGCTTATTAAACAAATGAAAAAATTATCGAGTTGTGTGTGGGAGAGACTGCAGGCACACAAGCTTGGACACAAGCGCGGGAGTTCGATGTGTCATTCCCGCGTGAAAATGCCCGCCACGCAAGCGTGTGAGGGGGATTCATAGTCATCATGGAGGTTAAGGGGGAATGCCCAACTCGACAATATCCCACAAGGTGGTCAGCTGAGGTGGCATAGGGGAGTGGGGTCGGGGACCCCCACCACCACCACCTCCGTTACCTCACTTTTCCACCACCTCTAAATCCAATATGGGCCTCGGAGTTAGTTGCTAGCTATAGAGAGAGACAGAGAGACAGAGAGCTCCCCGAAGCTGGACACCACGGGCGCCGGAATGGAAGGAAGCAGCGACCCGAAACCCGTCGAAGCAACTCACTCACTCACTGCCTGCTAGCGACCTCGCGTACACGCGAGACCAGAGAGTGAGAGAGAGAGAGAGAGAGAGAGAGAGAGAGCATGGGCAGACGGGGAAAGGAAGAAAGGGAGGGAGAAAGCGAGACAGAAGAAACAAGAGAGAGGGAGGGGGAAATCTTATCTAGCTCGCCAGGATGGCACACTTATCCTATCCACTACAGAAGCAGGCTGCGGGAGGGCACGCCTTCCGATCCGAATCCGACGGACTAGAACCGAGAATGAGGGGCATCTTGTTGCGACTTATCGGGTGCCAGCACTGCGCGCCGACTTCGTTGCAGCCGCAGTGGGCCTGCATCCTTGCGGGTCCCAGTGCTCTCATCCGCATTGCCAGGCAGGTCATTGCCACACCCGTCGTCATGACCTGGCCCCGACCCGACCCGGGCATAGATGACCCTGACCCACCCACGCACCCACCCGCCCAGCCTGGCGCGGTGGCAGGGTTACTGCGAAGGGAGAGTGGGAGAGGATCCATCCCCCTGCCTGCCTAGTCCAGCATTCGCTCTGGGCCCGCGATTCTCTGCGCGACGTTCGCTACCCGTGCTGGCTGGGGCACCCGTGCGTCCGGCGTGGTGGTGGTGGTAGTAGTCTCCTGAGCGGGGATGGGGATGCTGCCTGCTGCTGCCCCATCGAGGAGGAGGAGACCCGGCCTGCGCACGAGAGAGCGACAGAGACGGGGCTTTAACACTTTCCGCTGTGGCAGCAGCAGCAGCAGCAGCAGCAGCACTGTTACTTGTTTTCGACTGCTGTGTGTGTGTGTGAGAGAGAGAGTGTGTGTGAGTGAGAGATTGAGAGAGAGTGAGGGAGAGAGAGTGCGGCGTGTGTGAGAGTACCTGGTGTTGTCGTCGTCGTAGACCAAGGTATGGATTATGGCAACTCCATAAGCGTCGTTACGGATTCTTTCTAATCTTATTCTTCGAGTCGAGTGTGTCTGTGTGCCAGTGGAAGAAGAGGTGTCCTTGTTTTTATTTTTGTTATTTTTGTTTTTTGTTTTGTTTTTTTGGTTTTCTTCCCCCTGAGGTCGCTTGCGCTGTTTTTTTTTTTTCTTCTTTCGAGCCCGTTTGAGTCGCGCGTGTGCGACGAGTTTTTTTTTTTTTTTTTTTTTTTTTTTTTTTTGTTTTTCTTTCCCTCCTGGCTGTGTTCTTCGATCTCGAAGATTTTTTTTTTGATATGCTTTTGTAAGTGTTCGTGTCGTTTTTTCCTGCTGAGGCGAGCCTTCGATCGCGAGCTTGGATTCTCAGAGTGGTGACAAGGAGTGTTGGTGTGGCTCGTTTTGCGTAATTTCGACGCTCTCCTCACTCCTGGTGGTTGTACCAGGAATGGTCTGAGTAGTATGCAAAGGCCGGGTATTTGAGGAAGGCTGTCCGCAACTCCTCTTTGTCTCGCAGCACTTTATGCCGATCCTTGTACGGGTTTCGTGTTCACTGTCTGTCTGATCGGGTTTTAATTTCGGTTCACTTGGCTTGGGTGAGAGAGACACGTCGGAGGAGATTTGTTGGACCGAGTGTGGCTTGGATTTCTCAGTGGCCCCTTGGTGTCCCTACTCGTATCCCTCCTCCGATGGCTCAACCTATGAGGTTTTGGTTTGCTTCTTCTAGGGACCGTTTTTTGCGGTATCACGAAGAGAAGCGGAAGTGTTTTACGTTTTAAGTCCAATAACTAGAACACCGCTCATTCCTCCTTTTGATCGTCTAGGTCCGCAGAAGTTGACATAGCTTCTTTCGGCGTCGAGTAGTCCGTAGTTCGCAATAGCAACTTTCGCAGTTTGAAACTGTGGAAGATTTTTTTTTTTTTTTTTTTTTTTTTTTTTTAACCTTTATTTTTTGATTTATTTCTAAGCACTGATTTTCCCATTTCCAGCCTTTTGCTTTGGAAGATTGTGAACTCCGAGTTGATTTTTGAGCGGAGCTCGGTGTGCATGTCGCACATGTTGCTAAATTACTACCTTCGGAAGTTGACAACGTTCGTTGTGCTGTTGCAGCTCCAGGGGGCTCCGCATATTGTCTACAAGGAAACCATGTCCACCGGAGAATAAATAGTGAATCCTGAAAGATCACAAGCATTCTTTAATTCAGTCTCTAACAAGGAAATCTTGAAGGACTCGAGGAGTCAGGAGTTGAGGATCTCGTGCTGATCATTCTCTGACGGGTTGTACAGGCAGTTAGAGTCCTCCAGACTGTATAGTACATCAAATAATATCACATAGAAGAACGCCTGCCATGGCCCAGCAGACAGGTGGGGGTGGGACAGGTTCAGGCGCTTTGGGAAACCAGTTTGGCGATACTACTTTCACGAAGGTGTTCGTAGGCGGGCTAGCATGGGAGACGCAAAGAGATACCATGCGTCGTCATTTCGAACAGTTTGGTGACATATTGGAAGCTGTGGTTATCACGGATAAAAACACTGGCAGATCCAAGGGCTATGGCTTTGTGAGTACTCCCTTGTCACAGGACCTTTACTCTCAAATAACCTGGGGCTTTGTTTCTTTCGCGGTGACTGGCGGATCTTTTGTTTTGTTGAAGAGCTACTATACTGCCTGCTTATCGAGCCCGATGCAACACCTTATTAAAACGCAGGTGACTGGGCTGGAATGATAGACAATGCCCGCATCGATCGCATCCTATTGGATCGGCACTACGATAATTATCTGTAGAAGAAAAAGGCTTGTTCTGAAACCATTTAATGGTTTACTGTCAAAGAAGACTCTCGATACCAATAAGTCCCTATCTGAGTCTCATCTTCTTTCAGATATTGGACTTGGCGTTTATACGTAGTCTCCATGCTGTATCTAGGTACTAGTTGGGTATGGTGGTTTTTCGTCTGCATACGCAGCTGTGTACTGCACAACTTTCCTCATCTTCAGTTTTAATATTTCCTCCACGCAACTAAGCTTTTTCGTATCCTCCTCAGTCTTCTAACCGTCGACTGAAAAACGCACGCTTAGACGTTGACCTACTACTGTTCGTGTCGCGGTCTTTATTTTGAAAGCAGGAAGTTTACAGCCGTTTAGAAGCGACTCTGGTGTTTAGAACGTAATAATGCTTCCAATGGATTGGGGCGTTTCTACAGCAGCCTAGGGATCAAGTGAAAACGTACATTTTCATTTGAGAAAGGGGCTTTTTCTTTTGACTTCGTAATATAACCAGGTCCATCGTGCGATAAAACTCGTTTCATCCCAGTCTTTGTTTTCCGCAAGTGCAGAAGTTTAAATTCCCCCGACTCCCCCCGACTACATTTATGTCCTTGGCTTTGTTTTGAGGACGAAAATCAGTCCTGTATCGTTCTTTTCGTGTGGAGGAAACAAATAGTGATGCACATTCTCGATCTGTTACGGTCTTCCGGGCTAGATTGGTGGTGGGAGAATGGATGCAGACTGAGAACAACGCTATGAGTTGGACCCGCTGAAGGATTCGGAGTCTGCATTGTTTTGGAGACGCATGCAGGCATGCGACTTATATAGGTAGTCATGAGTGAATATCTTTACGCCCATGAGAACCCGGCTGGTAGAGATGTCCAATCGCCAACGAAATTATTCTAATTGTTCACGTTTGGACGATCAGTGGTCGAAGCTGGAGTTACAGGGAGAGCAAGCGTGTGGGTTCATATAGATTCTAAGGATACAACCCTGTCTTCACTGGTACGACTGTACTTAAACAGCTGTATAACTCCTGCAATGACTGAGACAGTGCTGTGTTCGTTCAGGTTACCTTCAGGGATTCAGAATCAGCAAAGAAAGCTTGTGAAGACGCTACCCCAATTATAGATGGTAGAAGAGCCAATTGCAATTTGGCCTCTTTGGGCGCTCACCGCCATCGTCCTCATGGGCAGCATGGTATAACCAACTGACTCTATTTACACACTTTTTATTTGCAACTTATATTTTTTGAATGTTTTTCGGGGAAGGTTTGTTTGTGTTCAGTAAAATTCCTAAGCCTGATCGTGCAGGACAGATATGTTAATTAGTTGTGTATTAGGTTTAAATCTCATTACAGTCCTGCTCTCGTAAATGTTGGTTACAACGCGGCATTCTGTATTAAAATTCTATGAATAGAGAGTTTGCTGTCCCCGTGGGTACTCACAAACACGATTAAGAGTGACTTCGTTGGCTCAGGATCCTGGGCTATAGTTTGATTGTCAACTTACTGGGTTCTCTCAGAAACTAGGGTGAAAAGCTAGGGGTATCACATTGTACCTTAAGGTGCAGATTAAAATCAGGAGTTGAGATAAACTGACGAGGACAATTTCTAATCCACCTCAGGCAATCGATTTCGACCGGTTCCTGCAGGCCCTCAGCAGGGAGGGCCCGGTTTCACTGGTGCTGGATCATTTCCCCAACCTGGTTCGCCTTACGGTCATCCATCGCCAGGAACATTTTATCCTCCTTTCGGCGGGTATGTTATCCAATGCACAATATTGTTATACGTACATCTTGTGTGTTGCTCTTTATTGGTAAACAGTATTCTGAAAAGATTGAACAGTCATTTATTCTTTGAGTTGCAAGCACTTTTTTTCGTGCCTCTTTGTTTGATTTTAAAGGATTAGGATATAATTATTTACAGCGATTGGGATCGCTGGCTGGAGAATGCAGTAGCTTCGTTTTTCACTAAGGCCCATGTTTGCTGATGTAATACCAAGCCGAGGCTTTAGCTACAGCGAAGTCGCGTATCCTCCGTTTGGTCCTTTACTTGTTTTCGGATCTTAAAAGCATAGTTTGAGCGATGGTTAATTATGGGTTGTATGGAACGAGGACACTTAACCCTCTGTGTCTAACCACTTCAGGTGCTCTCGCATTGATATATGTTGTAACACAAGGGCAGTCTCGGAAGCTCTTCATGATACCTTTCATTCTGCACAAATGGAGAACAACGGTGCACTCCGCTCATAGCCGCAAGGCAAAGGCTGGACCTAATAGAGATCTCTGTGTGTTTGTCTGTTACATCAGGTATCCGCAATACCCTCAAGACTACGCTAGCTATCCTCCGGTGCGTGTATTCCTTCAACTCTTTCTACGGTGTTCTGCATGATGGCGTTTTTATAGAATACGGGACTTGGAGGGCTGGATCTATATCCTCGACATTACCTTCATCCGTCTATATTGGGGTTAAACAAGAAAAAAAGAAAAAAGAAAAAGAAAAAGAAAACTTATTAATTAGAACCTTCCCGCCAGCGGAGTAGGCCGCGGTACATTTTGTGCAGTACAAGTTGTACATGTTTACGGACAGACTCAGTGCGCCTTGGAATTCATTGCATACTCATTATTACCTCGTCTGTGCTGCTCCGCAGAATTTGTTTCAGTATGGCGCTCCACAGTACCCACAGATGTATGGAGCACCTGGTGCTATTAGTCCTGGATCAGGTCCCGTGTATCCTTATGGATCCTTCACGACTCAACCGCTACAAGGAGGCCCTATTTATCCCGGCACGCAGTATGGTTTTCAAGCACCACAGGTGTATGGTCCTGCTGGTGCCGGTTTGTCACCTTTGACCTCAGCTTATGGCGGCTCAGGCACCCTTCCCACATCGACACCTACAGGAGGTACAGCCGCCCTTCTCACTTAATCTGGTGCGAAGTGCACCATTCGTTGACTTGAGAATCCGTCCAATCATGTGACCGTAGTTGTAGTTTACTAATAGTCGTTCTCAGAATGTTTTACTGTTGCCCAGTGTGTATGGCGGTGCACATAAAATTAGTAGTCGCGGTGTTGCTGTTTCCAGCTTAGTATTGAACGCCGGTTGCACACTTGTCTACGCCCGGTTGACCGTATTACCCAGGTGTTGGTCTTCAAGTCCTAATTTCTTCTATGTTTTTCTTGTTCCAAATCTTACAAGTCAATTTTGTTCAACAGACAGCGAAATTGGGTTGTTGCAGTGGCAAGCTCTAGAGCATCAATCAACTTTGACTCCCGCCTCTGCAACGTTACCCCATCTTGAAACTCTCAAAATAGCCCAATGACGGGTCTAGCCTTAGTATCTGTCTCGTTCTAGGATGTCAAATATTGTGAATTAGATCCATTAAGAGGAAAGAGTCATTCAACCAGATAGATAACCTTAAACTTACCCTACTTTCTACAGTCAAGCATTTGTTAGTCTCTATTACTGTGATGATGCTAGGTGTACAAGATAGGTTAGGGCTGTAAATTTTAGAGACGCTGCAACATTGCTCATCATTTGGGGCTCACCATCTCGGGCTCTCTTTTGATAATTAAGAGGATTGTTGTAAAAGCACATTCCGAAACACTTTCCATGAGCACTTTTTTGTTACGCTGTACCTCGGCGCACCAGCAAGTGGGTTTTGATTTTCAACGTACTCTCTCAACGAGATGTACGGAGGCCATACTTGCGTCTGCTACCTTCTTAGTCCTTCATAGTTGCTTGTTGCTGCATGGTAGCTGGCATGCCAACCTGGAGCTGCAAGTGGCGGTTTGTTTTAGTGAAGGAATTGAAAAGTTGAGGGATTGGTTGTGGGCAGGTGTATCTCCTAGTCTATCTGCTGGACAAGTAGCTGGGCAGGTCTCTCCACAACAGTATGCATTGCCAACAGGCTCGCAGCAACAATACTCTAGTGGAGGCGGCTCGGAGCAACAGTCCGGTTAGCTCATGTTCGCAAGAACCTTTGTTGACAGGAACAGGGAGAGAATAGGCGAAGGAATCGGTCAGGGAGCAAATCAGATATACACGCTAGTCGTGGCCTGACCTGTGAATGCTCCAAATTTGTGGTAATGTCGGGTCTACTAAATCCTGAACTCCTGCATAAACTAGTTGCCCTGCCTCGGGAAAATCTAAGTCCTAATCCTACTCTTCAATCCTCGCTCCCTTCCACATGTCTTGTTCATTTTCCTCCCCACACTCTATTGACTTGTACTGCTATTCTAACAACTAACTTTTCACTCTTAAACTATGCACTGAGGTCTATAATTAAGCCCTTCCCTCAGTGTAGATCAATCATCCTCCACTGGTTTCTTCACCCTCAGGGCGGTTCGATCCTCCTTTCGTTCTCTCAACAGAGTTCGGTTGTATTCTCAAGGATTGGCATGACTGTGGTTGGTGTGAGATTCAAGCAACAGCTGGAAGTTTTTCCCTTCTGCACCGATGAGGTAGGAGCAGACATAAACAGGATAAACTAGCAGCCGCAGAATGCAACGAACCTTCGGGATTGTCCGCACTCCTGGTTTTGTGATTTTATTGCATCGCTAAACGCATTCGATGCATCGTTAATGCATTACACTGCCATCATCCTCTTTCCGACACTTATTCCCTCCCCCACTTTTAACTTGTTTCCCTGAGTTGTTTTTTTCTAGTCTATATCTGCAGCTCGTATGCTCTTATTATCGTCCATTTCTAAGTTTATCATGTAGCATTGTGGCTGTACATAGTAAAATATGAAATATTAATTGATTAATATATATATATATATATATATATCAATTAATATTTCATATTTTACATTGTGTTAGATTTTTTATATATTTTTAAACATACAAAACTCAACTTTTATGGAAGTTTGTACTTTTTAAAACTTTAGAGAATCTAATTTAAATTTAACACCCAAGCAGTATTTAATTCTCTCTTTGTTTAACAAACTTGGATTTTTTTTAGTGTTTTTGTGATGCAAGTAAAATTGCAAATTATTATCACTTGAGGCTGAATGTATAATCCATCTTTAGATAAAGCATTGGCATTAGTTATCATTGTTTTATTTTTACATAGACAAAGAATATTGTAGCAAATACATTTTTCTTCATACTATATATATACATATATACATACATTAATTTAATAAATTTAAATATTTTTGATATAGAAATATTTAATTGAATGCAACTTAAGTAATATATTTATTTATTCAATCAAATATATAAAAAATTGATCAAATATTTTTACTTTTATTTCCATAAACTTAAAATTTTTTTTTGGCGAAAGTAATAGTTAAGATTGAAGGTATTTAACATTATTTTATTCAAAAGATTTTTTTTACAATTTAAACACTTTGTGTGGTAATAATATGTCTTTTTCCATTAACTATCAAGTAGAATCATTTCTATTAATCAATATTTTATTTAATTTATCTAAATTCAAGATCTATAGCATTATAGCAATTTAACTTGAGTTATTTTAAATATCTTAAAAACGAAGTATAAATATCCATTCTTTATTTGGATTTTACTTCTTTTTTATTATTAAATTACAGCCTCATAGATACAATATGTTGTATTTGATTATTAAATAATTAACCAATTAATTAATTAAAAAAATTCATTAACTTTTATGTGTGTAATGTTAGATCATTTTAAACTAAACTATTGTATCTTTCATATATATATATATATATATATATATATAAACATATTTTATTTTATTTTATTGTAATAATGCAATATTTTAAATAAAGATAATAAATTCTATAGTTTACAAAGTAAGCACTTTCATAAGTATGATTCAAAATGAATGCTTATAACGAAGTAACATTTTAAAGAGTCTATTAAATAAAACTTGTATTTTGCTACATGAATGTAGTCACTAATATTTAAGTTCGCAAAATATTCTAATATTTTCTTCTAAGCAAATTAAAGTATATATGTTTTCTTATTTTTGTATAATTTCAAATGATATAATCAAATATTATTTTGTAATAATATTTTGCATAAATTTGGTTATTATACTTAAAAAGTTTATGTAAATTTAACACTTATTTCTAAATTTGATATTATAAAAAATTAATATTGTAATGATGTGTTAAGTTATAATTTTCTTTATAAATTTATTCTTCTTTTATTAAGTTAATATCATTAGTTAAATATATTTTTATATTTTAATTTGAATTTAATTATTTTCCATTAATATAATTTTATATATTTTTTGATTATTTCATTTATTTATTTATCTTAAATCTAAATGTCATAAGTATTATCTTTGAATATTTCTTAATATTATATTATATTTTTAACATCTTTTTGTATAAAATATTATTTATTTGTATAGATTAAGTTTATTTATTTAAGTATTTGTTAATATTTATTGTAATGAAAAAATTAAGAAATACAAAAAGTATGCTTTCAAATGAGTGCTTATGGTGGGTGTAATATAGTGAATAGTCAATAAAAAAAACTCTTGTATTTTTTCACATAAATAATCAGTCATCTATATTTAAAATTTTAAAGTATTTCTATAACTCCTTTGAGTAAAGAGAATCATATTTCCTTTTATTGTATTATTCATAATTGTTTTAGAAGGTCTTTATTTAGACTTAGATAAGATCATAGTTACTATTAAATATATATTTAGATTTATATGTATATATATTGGAAATAAATAGGATTTTTTTTAAAAATATCTATCTATATCTATATATATTAATAATTTAAATTATTAATAAATTCAAAGTATTAAAAAAATAAATTAGTATAGAATTATTTTAATTTATTTTAAAGAAAATAAAAGGAATAAAAATCTATATATTAAAATTTTATTATAAATATTTAAAATTATATATATATATATATATATATATATATATATATAGCTCAAGCTACAAGTTTCTATACTCAATCCAAATTTCTATACTCATACCTATTATGTCTATACATACATCCAAGGTCTTTGATTGGCTGATTTAAAGTTCTTTTTTCTTATCTCAAGGTATGTTCTAATTTCCTCTTCTCTTTATTTGATCCACTATAAATCCCAAACCACTTTCTTCTCTTTTTTGTTTAGACCTAGACTCAAATTCCCTCTTCCACCAAAACAAAAAAAAAAGAAAAAGAAAAAAAAGATTGAAACTTGCACATGACAAAAGATGAAGTGGAGTTTGTGGTTAGTTTTTGTGATGGGTGTGAAATTGGTGCATGATAACATGAGGAGGAAGAAGGTGTTTTGGAGCACCAGATAGCTTGTTGCATATAGTCAAGAGAATTATTTTTTAAACGTGTTTTGTAAAGAGAGAAAATGAGAGATGGCAGGGTTTTATGGTGATGATTGCAAAAGAATGCATTAATTTTTTGCCCTAGCAAGAGGATTTCAAGGGAGCAACAATATTGTATTGAAGTGGAATAAATTGAGCTATATTGAAAAGTAAAGAGCCAAAACAAGGAAGAAAGAAAAGAGATTGGAGACCTGTTTCAAGCTAAGTAAGAAGAAGAGGATAGGATTGAGACATATATATAAAAAAAAGAAGCAAGGAAAGAAGTTCAAGCCTTGTGCCTTGACAACAAAGAAGTAATTTGCAACAACTAATCAAAGCCCTTAAGTGTATATATAAATATAATGGATGTATGTATAACAACTTGGGATGTGCTTGTCGCTTGAGATTATATATAAATTCATAAGAAGTGGATTCTATAATTATATTGGAAATATTTTAAAGTAATAAATATAAAAAATTAAATTATTTTTCTTATAAGACTACTATTTTTTTTAAAAAAATAAGTCAACTATTAATATTTAAAACATAGTGATTTAAAAATATTTTTAATTCTTAATTTTCTTAAATATATATATTTTATGAATTCTTATCAATAAATTATCATTAAGAAAGTAAAATTTATTTTATTTTTAAATAATTCATCTATTTTAGTTACTTTTATGAATTATAAAAATATAAGAATATAAATTTTTAATTTTTAATTTTTAAAATAATTATATTCATATTATTTATTTAAAAATACTTTTATTTCTTAGATATTTATTATATAATTATAAAAATATCTTGATATAATAATATAAATTATAAATAATATATCTATGCAATAATATTTGAATTCAAATATTAAGAATTTAAGCTATCTAATTATTTGCAAAATATTTGTTAATTATTAATAATAACCTAAATCAAGCATTGTTAAAGAAAAAAATTACCTAATTCTTTTTAGTGATTTTATTAAGAATTTAATAATTTTTAAAGATTTATTTTTGGTATTCTTTTATAAGTATGAAATAACATAATTTTTATAATTTATTTTTGTAATTTATTTTTCTTATTTTATTTCTTCTACTTTATTTATTATATAACTTTCATATTACTTTAAAGATATTCTATCATACATAATCCATATTGGCAACGTTTTTTCTTTCAATTTTTTCTTTGACAGATATTAATATGAAATAAAAAATAATATGTGTAAAAATAAATATTATTTTAAGATATAAAATCTTAACTTTACTCCGAATCTTATATTTACTATTTTCATTGAATTTATCTTAGAAAAGTTGTTTCAAACATCATAACTTCTTTCATCTTTTAAACAATGCTTTTCAAAACCTTTAAGTTCAAGGGTGGTCTAATATATATATATATATATATATATATATGATATTATATATTGCTTTTGATAATTTATTCTTTTTGATTCTATACACATGATAATAAAATAATATTTGACTTCTTCAATACCTACTTTATTATAAAATACAAGAATAGTTTTTATATCAAGTTTTCTTTCAATATAATTATTTACTTGCTTAAATATCCAATTTAAAAACTTATGTCATCTACAATCCAAAATTAAGTATTTAGTTTTATTAATGAATTAAAATTTATTATTGCATAAAAATATTATTTTATATTAAAAAATAAATCTATGTCTTAAGTCTATCACTTAGAATAGGCATGACCATATACAATCTATTTCAAATTGGCATGACCATGTATTAAGCAAAATCTAATGTATTTTTTTATACAAAAAGATGGTATGTATGAATTTCTTCTATAAATTTTTTTAACAAATTCTTTTAATCTAAGATAATGGCTTCAAAAGTATCAATCTAAAAATCCATCTTCAACATCAAACAAATTTAGATTTTAGAATTTTAAGATTTAAAATATATGATTTTAGAATATAGAATTCAAGATTATGTAATAATTATGAATTTTTTTAGAAAAGCCAATATCTTCATATATGCTTTGTAATAAATCCAACAAATATAAAAAAGAGTTTCTTTAACAATCTATCTCACAATCCACATACGCTTATATATGGGACTATAATTGTTGCATTTGCACAATTCATAGGATAAGTTGACAATATACCATTTTGTTGAAATAACTTGGTTTCAAAAGGCAAACTCTATGCAACATGCATCAAGAATTTGCAAATTTGACAATTAATCTTGTTTGTAATATTTAATCAATTATTTGGCCCTTTGCAACCTTGCTATCCATTACTTGCCTCTACTTCTTAAAAAATACTTATTTAATCTATTTAATATATAGGTATCATTGTAGTATTGCATCAAACTGATTTTTTTAAAATAA